GTGTGTGTGTGTGTGTGTGTGTGTGTGTGTGTGCACGTGTGCAACACCTGTGACACATAACCTTACCGACAAGAGGAATTTCCTTTTTTTGTGACAGGCACAAAATTTTAAATGGCTTTTGACCAAGAGCCTCCTGAACGTTCTCGTGAACCTCATGAACTTCTTTACGGTAGCGTTGCCCTTTACCCTGTTTCTGTGGCTTTTCTGGCCCAAATCTATGAAGATCATCCACCTTTTGAACATCTCTTACCAAACAGCACAGCGGGCCAGGAGCCAGGGTCCAGCTGTGTTGTCCTGTTTGGGGACTAAGTATCTCTCTGCGTTCTTGGCATTTCAGGCCATCTTAGTCTTCAGCGTCCCTGTCTTCAGTGTATGTTATTCTTGGCCCCTGAGAGGAATTCTGACAGCAAGCAGAGAGGCTGAGCTGGACCCTTGAGGAGGGACAGGTAGCCAAACTCATGGGCACTCTTTTGTGGGCGTTCTTCTTTATTCTGCTTCAGCCTGTTTTTTTCAGACCCACTGCCTTCCGTGACGGACGTTCCTCTCTTGCGACACCCAGGGGCTGAGTGTGTGATGGGGGTTCCTTGCCCAAGGTTGTAACTGTCCAGTCTCCGTGTTGCTGGGAATCATGAGCACTGCCCATCCCAAGTGAGAGCATTTGTCATATTCAAACTGGAAATGCAAAACGAGAATTTTAAGATTCAATGAAAAACAATTCTCTTATCCCTGAGATAAGCAGATTAATGGTTTATCGTGTCAATATTTTGGCTGCAAACCATTATCTTGCCATCGATCCGGAAGAGATACGGTATTGACTCAGTAGCCTCGTTTACTTTTTGCTAACATTGTTTCTTTATGCTTTTTCTTCTTCTTCTAAACTATGACCTGAGGGGGCACCTGGGGGGCCCAGTCGGTTGAGCGTCCAACTTCGGCTCAGGGCATGATCTCACGGTTTGTGAGTTCGAGCCCCGCGTCGGGCTCTGTGCTGACAGCTAAGAGCCCGGAGCCTGCTTCAGATCTTCTGTCCCCCTCCCTCTCTGCCCCTCCCCCGCTTGTGCTCCCGCATAAATAAACATTTAAAAAATACATATCACGACCTGGTTTCTTTTCCTCTGTCTTCTTACGACCAGCTCCTGTCCAGTCAGAAGGACAGGGTTAAGTTCACGCAGGAAAAAAAAGCAATTGGGAGCCATGGACTCGAGATGTCAGACTGGTTCCCTCTTTGTTCTGAAGCTGATGTGACGGACCCTTCCCCACTTCCCTCCTGTCTGTCCCCCGCACCACTCTCCCCAGAGACCTATTTTTGAATGTCTCACTAGCACATCATAAGGTCCATTCAGTTCCTTGGAATATGTTTAGGATTTGTACTTTTTCAGTGTCTGCTGACCATGTTTCCCGGGCCGCGTAGAGACACCACGGACTCCTTTTTGCTGATGGCTGGTGAGGGAGCCACTCGTCAGTAGCTAAAAGAGGGGAAGCTCGAACAGAAAGCGTGGCTGAAGTGGTTTCGTGGGACTGTGATTGCAGAGTGGGTTTTCATAGTAAGGGGCCGTTTGGTACTGCTGTCTCTGTGAAATGGGCCAGACGGACACTTGCCCGTTCTTCGCGTCCACAACGTGTGGACTGTGGCGGTGGGTTAACGAAGGGGCCCAAGGGGGGAAAATGCCAGCTCCTCTCCCTGAGATGCGTATG